CTGATTATACGAGTCCCGTGCTATCATAATGTTCGTAGAGTCATCACAGGTAAGTTCTCTGTTTATGGTTTGGCTTCTCATTGCATTTCCAGATACCGGCTTCGTGTATCTTGCTTGATACACTGGTTAAGCTGTTAGAATAAATATAACGGCTCCCCCACACACGCCTTCTGTTTCCTGCTTTTTCCTGGTTAAGCAATTCTTTGTATTGCATTCTTTCTATCCACATAACTGGGATGGTGTCTCTCTCCTCATGGTATGCAGGCTCGACAGTCAATGACGGGGCTTTAGTGAGCAGAGTGGGGCGTGCCGGGACAAACCCAGCCCCACATTTAGAGGTGAGACTGAAGCAGTTTGGCCATCTTCAACCCATGGCTACAATAGCCTTCAAAGCATGACTGGGATACTCACTGTGATCCCAGCTCACAAGCGGGGAAGTTTATGGGGCCAGGCCTAGGGTGGCACTCACTACATCTGCTCCCACCCCACTGGAGAACGCTCCACTGAAGTCACAGGGTCACACTGTAACTGTAAGGATAGAATGGAGCATATCTGAGTAGCCATATGCCCAGCTCTCATCCTGTTACCATGGAAATGGAGAACAGATTTTGATGGACAGCTAGCAATTTCTGCCATGATGCCATTTTGTTTTGTATATAGATTTAGGCCACTTATATTCTAGTTACAAATTTCACGTTATTTTTACTTTTAAGTCAATGTTGTCTGATATTAAAGTGGAGAGTCACAGTTATAATGGATCTGGACACTCATTTTTCTTTTGTTTTCCATCTTGTGTTTTATGGTCAATTTCCTGAACCCCCCCTCCGCCCACACACACCTTCTAGTAATTAAAATTACTTCTGTATTTTAAGTGGTAAACTTTAAAAACTTTACTGACTTTAAAAAATGAAATGAATATTGACTTCTTGCTGTGAAAGACAAGGAAATTAGCTCACTTATACTTCCAGCACCAACTGAGTTTTATCAAAAAGCTCTAGGATTTTTGTCCCATTCTGTGAGTTGTATTACTTTAAATTGTGAAGTTTTCCCTTCAAGTCATCTTTACATCCTTTTCTGTAACTATAAATTGCATTGTCATTACTATTAATTTTATATTGTAATAGATTAGTCATTCATAAGTAGTTCTTATGTATTATGTTTTCTCCACTAATCTACACTTTTCACATTGGTTCTCTTGGTTGACTGGGTTTAGACAAATATCATTTTCAAGAAAGGTTCACAGTTATGATTCCCAAGTTACTGCATAACTAAGAATTCATTTGCCTTTATAACTGTTTAGTAAAAAGATCTTAGATTACACTTACTGTGTGACATTGACCTGGTATAAAGTTAAGCCCTAGAAGATAATGGGTTGCTTTTTTTTTTTTTTATGTCCAAACTTCTCCAAGATGTTTCAATGTTGCTCCGATTTTTCTGGAACATGATGTGTTCTCTTTATCTGCAGATTTAGTTCTTATTTAGGGAAAGCTTTACCCTGTCTTTGAATTTTATCTTTCTGCACCGGTCATAGCTTTCCCTCTGGACACCAACTTTCTCCATGTTGGATCGACCTTGTCCTCTCCCCGTTTCTAGTCTTTTCCATCTGCATTCACTGTTCTCTGATCACAGGCCTTTCACTTGTCACCTTTTGCCCCTTGTCCTATTTGTCTCCATAGCATTTATTACTACATGTCACCCCATGTCCCCAACCCCAACCAGAACATGGGCTCCATGAGGAGAGGGGACTTCTCTTTCCTGTACCCCATCATCGTGCCGGAAAAGGATCAGGCACATAGTTGACACACAACAAGTATTTAACTGAACGGCCCCGAGCTGCCCCTGCAGGATGGTCACTCAGGTTCCAGCTGGGTACGTTTGGCTCTTGTTTCTAATGTGTGAAACCTGTTTCCTCAGCTCTATTTTTCTTTCTAATTGTATTGTCTTATTTTGCCTCTGATTTCTCCTTTCATCGATTCCTTTTCTCTTTCATTTCTCTTAGAGCATTTGTTGTGGAGGATGTTCTATTTCCTAAAGTAAATTTATTTTCAGAACAGGCACTTGGTGGTGTCCGGGTGCAGGCGGGGTGCTCTCCTCTGCCCGGTCTGAACGCCTCTGTCGGCTCCTTTTGCAGTGAGCCCCTCAGGCAATAAGTCAGGGCCAAGCTTACCCTGTAGGTGGAGCAATCTCATATGGTAAGACACTGTCCTTGGAAACAGGATATGTCCTGGGCTGGGCAAAGTCTATTCAGGTCTTGCAGTATTAAAACAGCATTACAGGGGGGAAAGGGTGATTATCAGATCAGCCGCCACTGCCCATAAGCCCCCCCCTTAGGCAACAAGACCCAGGTCCAGGTCCAGCTCCGACCACCTACTATTGGGGATCACAGTTCTGAGGATCGTGGGCACCCTTGCTCCCCATCTGCCTCCCTCCCAGATGAGAAGTCGCAATGCCCACTCCCAACAGCTATTCCCTTCATTGAGGGCACAGCTGTGACAGTCACACAAAGGTCTGTGCACAGCATAAAGGTGCCAGCTGAGAGGGCCACCAGGGGCTGAAACTCAGTTTAGGTTGGCTCTGAGCCAGGTGTTCTGGTATGGGGTTGTCTCTGCTCAGAGAAATGGCCTTTTTCTCTGCACAAGGGTGCTAAACCTTGTGCCCACAGGGCTGCATGTGTCCCCAAAGGGTGCCTTTTTCTAGGTCACACAGAGGTCATGTGGGCCAGCCGATAATAAAGTAGGGCCATGGTACGTGTGGTGGGGGAAGAACATGTACCCTGGAAAGGCATTTTCTGTGTTTTGTCCTAGACGCTGACTCAACCAACACTCTAGGTCAGGGGTCAACAAACTGCGGCTTGCGAGCCACATGCAACTCTTTGGGTATGTACATGTGTGAATTTGTTTTTATTTTAATAAAGCTATAATACTATTACTTGTTATATTTCTTTGAATTTTCCTTATTTGTAAAAATATATTTATGGCTCTCGAATAATGTTTAAATTGTTGTGAGGGACAGGATTGGCTCTTCTGTCTCAAAAGTTCGCAGACCCCTGCTCTAGGTGACTCCCTCTAAATGCATTAGGTTTTTCATTATTTATCTGCCGACCTTGTCCTCACCCTGTGCAGCTTCAGGGAGGCCAGAGTGTAGGAGCCAAAGACAAATCCCAATGTGTCTTTTGTCTTCCTGCTCCTTTGCAGAGTTTCCAGTGGAGGCTGTCCTGTTCCTTTGTCTGAATGCTGCTGGGTGGCGGTGGGGGGGTGG